TATCCAAGCTATGGCAGTATGAGGTTGGCAAGATCATCTGGATTTGAGAAAATTTGCAACAACTTCCTACTGTAAATAAGCAGATGTACGAACGTGTAAATAAATATGGAATACAAATAAAATAATGACTGGGCGGGAACATTAGCACATTAGTAACTATGCAAATACATTTATGCTATACTGGTTTATTTACTAATTTATAAATTTAAATGCATGTTTACGTTGAAAGTTTTAGAAATCCATGAAATGTTTAACGACGCCATTATCCTCAACTTTTCAGGAATTAGTATCATAAACTTAAAGTATTTTGTATTCCATTGCATTTGCTTTCTGCTAAATATAATCTTTTAAATCTTATTCAGTGCGACCTATTTAATCCGGCACCCTTGGGACCAGGGCACAACCGGATCACAGAAAATAACGGATGACAGAAATCAACCCTAAATAAACACTACATAGTCTTACTAGCTCATTCCACATAGATATTGCTATGTTATCAAAGGTAAAACAAAGCTTAAAACAGGAAATAAAACAATCATTAATTCTTCCAAATCCTTTATACAAAGGCTAAAAAAAAGGCTAAAACCAAAAGATAATATATACTTACTATCCTGAATCGGTAAATATTTAACTATTTATAAGAAATCAGAAAGACCGTATCTCCAAAACACTCTGCTGTTGTTGGTTGCTGCGGATAGTGGTGTCCACTTAACCACTCAAAGAACTAAAGGCGGAAAGGCAAGGTCGATTTTACTGTTTTTAAACAACCTTGTTTTAAAATCGACCTATCAACTAAACGAGTTTACAGACGCAAATATAAATGATAAATATTTGCCCATTCTCGAACCTGGTAGGTGCTTATTTGAGCCGTGAGGGAAGCGCTACTGACCAAGTGCGTGGGCTTCTCCATCGCGCAGAGGGGTCCACTAAAATCAAATCCACACGAATGACATCGTCAAACTCTCTTTGTCTTCGTTCTATGACTTTCGTTCTGCCTAACACAAACCAACATCGACCCTGAAACCCAGAAAACCCTTGTTGTGAGTCGGCCTTATTGGCGTAGGACTTTCCGTGTGGGGGAAAAGTCGAAACTTTAGTGTCCAAACATCAACATGAAGATCTGTGACGTGCTGTAAGGAGAGCCTAACTCACACAACCGTGTCCACCACCCACACTCATCGGTGACTACTAGTAACGACTCTTGAGGAGTAGGTCGGGTCGTCACAGCCATCGCCACCACTTCCACCGGCAGTGGGGATAGGGAGAGAGGATGAGGATACCATTGCTCAGATGCGAGCAGGATCTTATAGAGTCAAATATAAACGACCAATATTTATATATATATATATATATATATATATATATATATATATATATATATATATAACAAATTGCCATGAAAATATTTATAGAAAAGATAGAGGAAAGCTACGTCACGGCGGTGAGAGCGTGATTGAAACCGAGATACCAGGTTAGGACCCATAACGTTGCAGATTCTTCTTCGGAGAATCTGGAGATAGATAGCAGGATCACCAGACCAGATTTGGCAGCAATATTCAATACACGGATGGATGGTTCATTATAATCATTCGACTACATGAACGTGAAACCAAAAAGGCACAATGTGTTATTATGGAGGTTAGCATCAGCTATGCTGATGGAAGTGGGAGCTAATGTTCTCTATGGTGATTAAAAGATAGCAGTTTGTTCTGAAGGGAAGGATAATGTTGTTTGCCTGTGTGTGTATCTGTGTGTGTGAGGGAGAGATTGAGGGGAGAAAGAGAGAGTGCGAGAACGGAAAATGGTGAAGTTTCAAGCTTAACAGAAAAAAAAGGATTTTTCATTTTTTATCTGTCGTCTCCCTTCCGAATGTGGATGTTCATGGCTCTCCACAACTTCCTACCTTATATAGCTAATTTTAAACACCATATACACTGTTATGCAAATTAATTGAAACAAAATGAATAATTCCGTTATTATTAACTTTTTTTCGTATTTTTCCAATGAAACATGATCAAGTGCACATGTTAATACTTCGTATGTCCATTCTACGAAGTCATTCTTTGCAGACTGACCACAAATTCTCAACTGGATTTAAATCATAAGAGTTTCTAGGTTTTGATTTGCACACTGGTAAGGCTTACCAATGTGTTCATGCATCTTTTCGTACACTTCCTTGGAGTAACGTCCATCGCAGACAATGGCTGTAGGACAACTAATAGACAGTCAAGACAATAGTTGCTTGGATGCAATCACAGATAATGCAATATTTTTCAAGGCTAAACAAATTTCATCATACACCCTGAAAATAGATTCATACCACACACACACCACTGCAAATGACCTAATCTGAGGAAAAAATAGAAATCGATTACACCCTGTCACTTCAGTGGGTCTAAAACTGACCGTATGGTGAAAGAAAGGAAACTAAAGTGGTTGTTTCAATTAATTTGCGCAAGTGTGTATGTATGCCTGGTGTCTGAATCTTTAAATTTTCATAAGCCATAGTCAAAGAGTATTTTGCTGATAATGTCACTGCTATTTCTCATTTTCTTCAGGTATCTGTTTCCTCAGCCGTATTAAACTACTCAAGTTATTTTTTCGTTTTTATCTTCATTTTAATTATGTCCGCCCTGTTAGCTATATTTACCTGGGTTAGCTAATATCTTCAGATAGTGAAGTGGGTATGCAAATCTTTTAGTTATTCTACGACCATCTTTAAAGTTGATGGAGCCTGCTTGTGTACCTTAAAAATCAGCGATCTATATCCTGTCCTAGGGCCAAACACTGGCAATAGTGGGGAAAAGACGATTACATCAATAAAAAAAATCAGGCAGCAAGGAATGCCATGTATTATCTTTATCAAGCCAGACAGATTTTGTGAATTAATGTTATCTTTAAAACACTTTTGATTTTGAAAATTTGTAGTTATGTAATCGCTTTTTGCATTATTCTAATCATGTTGAATTTTGTTGTTTAATCAATATCTTATCACGGATCATCTTGAGGCTGTATAAATACAGAATATAAAAACAGTGATGCACACTGAAGAGAAAGATAAGGTTGTGCGAGTGTCTGTCTGTGTGTGTGCGTGCGTGTGAGAGAGAGAGAGAGTAAAAGGGAGAGAGATAGAAAGAGAGAGAGACTGAAAATGGCGAAGTTCCGGGGTAAACAAAAATATGATTCTTCTTTTATACGTTGTCACCATTCTGGACGTGGGTGTTCATGGCCCTCCACAGCTTCCCATATTTTATCGCTCTAATCCCTATTTGCTTCCTGACTATCCTCCCAGCCAACCATTTATACAAGCTCGATGTTTCCCTCTGTCCCTCTAGCCTTCCGTATGTTCTGTGAGTGTTAAATTTGTCAAGTCTTCTTTCCTGACTATGAGCATCAGATATTTCAACAACTATTTTCTTGGGCGGAGGTCCTAAAAATAAATAAATAAAAACAGTCACGTATTAAGACAACCAAGAAGAATTTGAAAATTCGAAAGTTGTATTTTTTTAACATTAAAAAAATTCAGAGAGGAATTCTTTTTTACCTTGACCAACAAGTTACTTCTGAGAGGGAGATACGAGAAAAAAAAATGAAACCATTCTTCGTTGAGATTAAAAAAAAAAGTTAATGGTAGAAACATAAAGTTAACAAAAAGAAATAGTAAGGAAGAAAAGAAAGAGAATTAATGCAAAAACAAAGATAGGCAAAAACTATAGAGAGAGGGAAAGAAAAAGATAGAGAAAGAGGAACTGATACAGACAAAGTTACGTCTGTGAGATTGATTGATTGGTTTTCTACGGTTTATCAACCCTTTGTAGGTTATTTAAAGCCAGAATATATTTTTAAATTGTAAGAAATTTTTTGAGATAATAATGATTTAGTGATACAAGTATTACTAATTAACCCATAGCTGGGGGGGAGAAAAGATGGATTCATACCTAATCAAAATTTGATAAACGAACGAGAAATGATTATGTCATAAAGTGGGGGATCAATTCTATATTACAATCAATATACAGACTGATCCCTCATTTTGGGGCCACTGGTAATTTCTATATATTTATATTTCAGATAATGTAGATAAATCTAAAAGACATGCCTGTGTAACTAATCAGCATTTGATTGATTTGCTTTCTAAGGTCTATCAACTCTTTGCAGGTTATTTAAAGCTTGAAAATATTTTAGTTTATAAAATGTCTTTTTTGAGATAATAATGACTTAGTGACAAAAATCATACTAATTAACCCATAGCTGGGGAAGAAGAGGTGGATTCATACCTAATCTGAATTTCAAATAAGAAATTATAATGTGGATGTCAAAACATGCGACTATTTAATAGTGACGATATAAAAATATTTTCTGGCTTTAAATAATATAATAATTGATTAACCCATAGAAGACGAATCACTCGATCAATAAAAAACATTCAACATGGCGTCCAACTTGTTCAGAAAAGTCTAACCGTTTTCTCGAATCATTGATTAAAAATGGCTTCAAACGAATGAATTCTTGAAGGTTTTAAAAATAAAATTCTTCTTCTGATCTTATAGACTGGCACTACAGAATCATAAAGAGCTTTACTAAGTAACAAAAACCATATCACTAGAACACTCCCAACAGCAACAACAATAAAAAAAGGACGCACATGTAGCTGAAGGAGAAAATAATGATATAAAAATGAGACTAAATTTCAACACTACCAAAAACAAAAGGTTTGAAAAGAAACCACATTGGTGTTAGCAAGAGCGATAACAGTTAGAGGATATGAGAAGTCTAACTTTTTTCAAAACTATTTTAAATAAACGATGCTTTAGATTCCAACCATTAACACTAACTGTACGCTCAATGAATGTCAAATATTTCTTTTATGGAAACGGTCAATTTTGGCATTTCCTTTAAAATAAAGTGTTATTAAGAAAATTTATTATTTTAATCAGAATCTTAGTTATGTGGTGAAAAACTATGTAAATCTTATTTTACGTTTTTGTTTTAGGAATCCAATGTCACCATATTTTTATGTCATTTTGCAGATAATGAAGATATCTGAGCTAATCATCTCCATCACAGCTGTGTTGCTGATTGCCCTTACGATAGCTGACGGCTCTCCAGCTCCTAAATGGCGTCCACAGGGTCGGTTTGGCAAACGAGTCAGCGAGCTAAATGATGATCCTTTGTGGGTGCTGTTGTCATGTAAGTAACGATCTTTCAAAAATCCTAGCCATTCTTTTTCCGTATATGTCACACACACACACACACACACACACACACACACACACACACACACACACACACACACACACACACACAGAGGGGGCGATGGGTAAGTTCTCGCCATTTTATATTTTTAATTTCGCGCATGCACATTGTTTGTTTTTTTTTTTTTTAGTATAGTAGGGTCTGTGAGAAAAGAAGCGTCTGTGAGAAAAGGAGCACCATGACAGACGCAATTCATTCCACCAGAAATATGGAAACGGTATGCTGTACTGATTGGCATTCACGCCGGAAGTTCCAATACGGATATTTGAGTGAGAGTGCAGAGGATTCGGAAATAGTTGTATGAGTATAATGGTGATTACGAAAGTGTTTAGAGTGATCACTAGTCATGGCGATATTATACCTCCATTCATCTTCGCACGGGGCGACAGACTCAACACGAAGGCCTACATCAAATGCCTTGAGGAGGTTGTGCTGCCCTGGGTCAAGAGGGTGGCTGCTGGAAGTCCTTATGTCTGGAAAAAAGAACTCTGCACCATCCCATACAAGCAGGAGAACTCAGTCATGTTTGTCAGACAATTTCTGCGACTACATCATTCTTTACATCTGGCCACATAACTCACCAGATTGCAACCCCCTTGATTACTATGTGTGGGGCGCAGTTGAACGTGAGACCAGCAAAACTACTTGTAACAACAAAGATGAACTGAAGGCAACGATTATGGCAGTATTAACCATCTTAAACAAGGTGACCATCCAGAAGATTGGAGGAAATTCCGAAGTCGTCTGGAGGCCATGGTTGAAGCCATTACGATTTTATTGAATAAATTTACTCTTTAGCATTTCAAGATATTTTTGTGTAATTTTGGTAGATATATCTGTTACAATGAAATGTTAGTGTCATTTTAAGTTTTGCGTCATTTAGACGACAGTTTATCCATCGCATCATATATATATATATATATATATATATATATATATATATATATATATCCACATGTAAAAGAAAGAAGAATACAATTACAAAGTTCAAAACATTCACAGGGCTCAATACAAGAGTAGAGCAATAAATATTTATTATACGCTGTTACATTAGAACATATAAGTTACTACTACAAAATTGTACATTTTGCTTCTACGTTTAATAAACAACGTCTCATCAGGTAGTTAACAATGATTAGATAACAATAACTATCAGTGTCAACTATCCGATGAGACGATGTTTATTAAACGTCGAAACAAAATGTACAATTTTGTAGTAGTAACTTACATGTTCTAATGTAACAGTTTATATATATATATATATATATATATATATATATATATATATATATATATATGCGTCCAGAAAACATCCAACTGTCTAATAATGTCGAAACAGTTGCCTACCTAAGAAAATGACGCAAAAGCAGCCTGAGTAACCACACGTGTGAGTATTCGAGTATGCGCAGTAAGTCCTTTCTTATTAGCTGCCAAATTACAACCGGCTTTTGAGATAATATTTATTCAAAATATCTGGATACTTTACACATACGCATTTATGTACATACCCACCCACATATATATATATATATATATATATATATATATATATATATATATATATATATATATATATTTGAATGTATTTGTATCCGGCATTATGATTATGAGCTTCCCAATGGCATTAGCTCTCAACTTGGTATCTATGCCAATCACACAACCATTTACTCTTGTCTCGATAGTAAGTTTAATCAGTTTGATAAGGTCAAATTGGCGGCTGAAGTCATAAACGACCTTCAATCTGTTGTTAATTGGGGCATGTTAATTTTAACTCCTCCAAAACGAAATTTATATCTATTAATCATCTGAGAGACCCATGTTTACCTTCCATTAGCATGGCTGATGCTAACCTCCAGTGACTCAGTGCGCCTTCTCAGGCTAACATTTTTGGCTGCCATGAAGTGAAAAGTTGGTTCACTGGGTAGTACTAGACAATTTTTCTCTGCAGAATCTATCTTACATATCTATTACCATTCGTCCATGCTTAGAATATTGCTGCCACATATGGTCTGGTGCTCCTGCCTTTGGAACAAGCTCAAAGAAATGATAAAGAGGCACACGGTGTCATATGAGGTATATGTTTTTTATTTTGACTGATTTAACCACTGTTTAAATACATTAATTCAGTGATAAAAGTTGATTCTAAAATCGGATATTATTTTCGCAACAATCTAATACATTGTAGATTTCAATACACTGTGAAAACTAAAAAAAAAAAAAAAAAAAAAAACATATATCTCCCAAAAGGCAAAATGGACAAAATACATTTCGAAGATATATACAAACAAGGAAAACCATTTTTAAACCGAAAACAACGACCTTCCTGATGACATCAGCTCTAAACTTGGTATCTATAATGATGACACAACTCTTTACTACTGTCTCGATAGTAAGTCCGATTGACTTGATATGTTCAAACTGGCAGCTGATGTTAAAAAGAAAAAAACGAGCTTCAGCCTGTTGTTAACTAGAGCAAAGAATGGCTTGTTAATTTTAAAACCTCCAGAACTAAGCTTCTCTCTATTAATCATCTGAGTGACCTCTTTCTAATTTCCATCAACATAGTTGATACTGACCTCCAGGAGACTAACTCATTGCACCTTCTCATGTTAAAGTTTCGACTGACATGAAATGGAAAGACTATATTGAATCTATTGAGAGGTCAGCTGCTAAGAAAGTTGGTTTATTGTGTCGTGCTAGATATTTTTTTCTTCTGAATCTGTCTTATATATCTATAAGTCAATCATTCGTCCATGCTTAGAATATTGCTGCCATATATGGTCCAGTGCTCCTGCTATATTTTTAGAAACCCTTGATAAAATCAAAAGAATAATCAACAATATTGTCCTGGCATCTCAGCTTTAATTACTTTCCGGTCAGAGATCAGTTCACCAAATAAGGTGGGCTTTAGAAGACTAACGTCTTTAATCCTCATCATATAAGCTTGAAGATGAAGCTTGTAACACTGGCTGACTTGAAGACTTCGAGTGAAGATGATGTGGGATATGACCATCTTGAATGACATGCGCTTGGTGAGTAATCGCACTGACATTATATATTTGTACAAGAGTAATCAAAAAATGGTTCCTGCTCGACATTGTGGTACCTTGGGATAAGAACATTGTAAATTTGAAGCAAGCAAAAATACATAGATACCAATCTGAGAAATATACCAAAAAAGGGATTCTCTCGCCATATCTGGTCTGGTGCCACTGCTGTATATCTTAATATTTTTGACAAAATCCAAAGATTTTATCCTGGTACCCCTGAATTTAAGAGTGCAACTAGATTGGCATCTAAGTCCCACCTTTTTACTGATAAAATAGTTAAATGCAACCATCACTTCTACTCCAACAGTTTCTTAATCCACGCTTCACACCTGTGAAATTCTCTTCCGCTTACTTGCTTCCCTGATTACTACAATCTTCAAAGATTTAAATGCAACCTCAATCGCCATCTTCTCTCTTCTTGAATCCCGTTCATCGTTTGTTGTCTTCCTTAATCCTCCCTATACTCAGTCTTTTCTCTCACTTTCACTCCCTGTAACCCCCTGCGTATTAGTGACATTACCGCCTTGCTTGGGGTGAAATGATTAAAAAAGTAGCAGTTCAACTTTTCCCTTTTGTAGTTGGTACACTTTGGACTATCTCCAAGAATCTTTCTGCCTGGTTGATCCTTGAAATCCACGAGAGTACCCAGGTGGCAACTCTACTTGGAACAGCGCATGCGCTAAATATTGTGTTGTGGATAGAAGATATGAATAACATCACCCGACAGAAACATATAAAAGTTGGAAAGTTTCTCAAATATTATTATTTTTTTTATTATTACTAAGTAGCAGAGCAATACGCCAAAAAAAGTGGCACTGAAACCCACTGTGTCCAATATGACACCCATCCTGATAAGATTATATCAGGTCTAGGCGTCAAATCACGCATAATAGAGTAACAGGTTTGGATAAAAGCATTACAGGTGTCACTTTGTTAGCTGTACCTTCAGGTCGGGTAACCCAGTCCCCACTCTGATGGTCTCCGAGTGTTTCCAAGTATCTAAATATGCTTCCCAAGTCACCTTGGCTGCCTCATCCTTCATACTTAGAAAACAACTCTCTCTCTCTCGCCACTTAGCCATGATGCTCTCTCGCTACTCCTGCTCATGAACAGGGATGCACGGTGCGTCAACCCCTAGAAGGCATGCCTAATTTGTTGGTGAAGAAAATGAGAAAATGGCGGTGTTAACAGGTGGAGGATTTATCAAAATATCTAAATATACTTTCCGGAAAAAAATCCCAGGTTGTTTTTAGTTTTTCTTTCATGGAAGTAGACAAAGATTTCTGCTCAGTATGAAAATAAATACAGAAGCAAAGAAATCAATAAATAGAACATCTGATTCCAAAGGATATGGTCTGAGTTCAAGTCCCGTCGGGAGCGTTTTTTATCATTATTTTATTTTATTTTATTTCCGATTTCGTGTTGTTTACTCTCGGGATCGAAACGTGTATCGATCTGGAATGTCCGGGTCAAAAGCGGCCATAAGATCGAGAAAAACTCGTAATAATATAATATAAATAATAAAGAGTACATTGATCCAAATTATTTTCATAGAAAGTAACAATAAATTCAAGAAAAAAAAAACTTCTAATAAAATATTAGTACGAATAATGAGTGTATCGACCCAGAGTATCGCGGTAAAAAGCCGTAAGAAGAAAGGGCGAACTAGTAATAAAATAAAAATATTAATGAAGAGTTTATCGAGCCACAGTTTCCGATAAAAATGACAATAAAATCAGAGAAAAACTATTGGTAAAATAATAGTAAGAATAAATGTTTCATCTAAATAAAATTAAACATATTAAACGAAGTAAATGAAGTGCTTGTAAAATCCAACAGCCTCAGACGAATATAAATTGTGTCTCAGAATTAACTATCTATTTC